ATACGTTTTCCCATTAAAGATGGTGTTGCAGCGAATGAAAAAGATGGTAATCTGATGGTGCCATATCTGGAGAATATGGTGGGTGGGGAAGAACTTCCCAATCCAACTCCATAATCTTCATAATCTCCATAATCATCAAACGAGCCAAATGTGGACGTGCATTGTCGTAGAGAAGAACACCTTTCTGAATGAAGAGTGAAGAGCGTTTCTGATTAAGGGCTTCATTTAAACGTTCCAGTTGCTGACTATAGATCTCTGCATTGACAGTTCACCATGGATTGAGGAGTTTGAAATGAATTACTCCTTTGATGTCCCACCAAATGTAAAACATCACTTGCTGCGGATGAAGTCCAGGTTTTGGGGTCGGAAGTGGTTTTCGCATTTAATATTCGCATAGGGAATCCATCTTTCATCACCTGTGACAATTCTGTCCAAAAATGGTTCACGTCGATTACGTGCCAGAAGAGACGAAGCAATGTTCACACGTTGGAAACGATGATCATCAGAGAGTTTGTGAGGCAACCAAACACCTTCTTTATGGAGTTTTCCAATATTCCGTAGATGTTTATGTACTGTTTCCAGACAGACATACAATTTCATGGCCATTTCACAAGTGTGTTGCCTTGGGTTACGCCCAACTACACAATGTATGATTTGTACACAGTTACATAAACAAACCTGTAATAAATTATCTCTTCAAAATATACTAAATTTAACAGTCGTGCTTTATAACTATCTAAATCATAACTCACATATCAAATTTCAATGAAACATGACATGAGGTGGAGAGGGCACTCTAAAGCTTCTATAGGATATAGCCTTCTCACAATGCTGAAGATGTATATATCAGAGGTAGGTTGAAGTATGACTGGAGAAGGAGAAGGGGGGGGGGGCAATGAAAACACTGACATAAACCATGAGAAAGCATCTGTATAGCCCAAAGATCATTGGCAAAGAAAGTCCATAGGTACACAAAATGGGAAAGCCAAGCTCCCCTAGCACTTGAGCTAAAATGCAGCACACAAGACATCTCCATGAATCTCAATGACCAGCCCTGTGAGAGAGAGGATAGCTAGAAGGAGCAAAAAGAGGAACAGTAGACAGAGCACCCCCACAGAGCTCCCACAGACAGGGAACCTGCAATCTGGTAAGGCAGGAAAGAAAAGAAGCCAAGGAAGACTGCTGGCAAGCAGCTTCAGTCTGAGATCTCAAAAAATAAGGAACCTTCCAAAGACTTCATAACAACAGAAAGGAGGGAAATGGATGTCTCAATTATCAGAGGGAAGGAGGTGCAGACCCAAAAGGAAGGAATCATAACCAAACAAATCCCAAAAACAAAGAAACAATGTCAACAAAAATACAGCACTAAAAATGACTTGCAAATTAACAACAGTTGGCTTTTTTTTTCTATAAGGTGGTTAAACAGACAAAGGAACTTATAATCCAACAAAAAAAAGCTCAAAGACAAACTGAATGTTAAAGAAAAAATAATTCAAGGTAATAGACCAAACTTTTAATCCCAAAAAATTCAAAAGCAGCACAAGAAAAAAACACATCAGGACATTAGCAGTGTCAAGGAAAGAATAACCTTGTGTTCACATGCTAATGTTCATGGGGATTACTTCATTTGGAGGACATGTCACCTTCATATTGGTGGAGAGCTATACTAAGACTAATGATGATTATATCATCAGCTGGCACAAAACACATTAACATGTGTAGAGGTGGGAGCTTTGTTTATGGCTTGTGACATGCACATGAAATTACATGACAGTTATGCAGAGCCTTCAGTAGCATTTAAGAATATGAATGTTATAGCTGAATAATTAGTGGAACTTGCCAAGTGATTAATCATTAGACTCATTAATCAATTACATTCAACCAATCTATTCTTATATCACATTAATCTTCCTATTTTACGTTGTTTTTTAAGACATTTTAAAAACCCTTTATTTGATATGACAGACATTTTCAGTTACAACAATTTAGGATTAAGTTACTTTTTTTTAGTCTTAAACTGTTGTACATAGAAATCTGTCATACACACAATGAACTACAAACCTGTAACAAACTAAAAATACAATTAATACTGTTCCATGGGTTTCTCCTTACAAATTGTGACAAGAGTTCTCTACTAAAACTAAATAAACTAATTCTTTGTTAAAAATAATTGTCCTTATACAACATGCAATAAAACTAGTAAAACTTTTTGTCACAGTGTATGATAGATAATTTGTAATTCAGTGAAAACAAACTCACACAAATCCTAGAAAAAATAAATACAGTACAATGTTTACTATTTGGCAAGAAAACTAGTAATGATACCAGATAATTGAAAATGAATCATAAAGTGGAAATCAAAGTATTATACAAAATATTAAAATCACAGTAATATGGAAAATCTTTACAGTCATTTCAGAATTTTTTTCTAATTTCATCATCACTTTGAAAAACTTAAAACTATTTAACTTTATAAGTATTAAAAGAACATCATAAGAGAACATTTTTTGATATAGATAACGTTTAGAAAGATCACATAATTATTAATATGTTTACATTTTACAGTACAGGCTGTAAAAACATGAGTGCTGAGAATCAAAAACTTGAAAGCTTACAGCACTAGGCAGTGTTTAAACAGCACATGACAAAAGCCAGGTTTTTTTTTCTCCTTGTCAGTGCTTCTTATCTAGCTAGAGCTAATTGTAAGTGAATAAAAGTCATGTCTATATAAATAGGTTAATGAATTAATTGTGTTACATATTTTTAGACTGTTATTATTCCATGTGTAGTAATTTTTGATTAAAAATTAAATGAACAAGTTATTTTGCAATCAACATTTTTTTGAAGTACTACAGAATAATGAATTTCCTGTAATTTTTTTTATTAAAGCTATTTTACCCTAAACAGTACTTGTTATGCTTGTAACTTGTAATAAGTAAACAATATATTACATTACTATTATTTAGACATACGTGGAAGACATGAAAAACATGCATCTCTGTAGCTAGTTATGTACCTAAGGGCCAGTAGGCCATACTCACAATTTGTGAGCTATGTACAACCAGAATGTATGCATACCATACAACAGTCACACCTGCAGAAATGCTAATATTCTGATCACTTGGATAATTTGAATACTTGAAAACAGCAATTTTTGATTAGTTGATTAATTTCATGAGTAATCAAACAAATTGACAAAGATGAAAAATCTTGAATGAATGTAAAATAATAATGTGAAATTGAAATGGCAATACTTAAGATTACTTGGATAGTTGTAATACTAATAGTTGAAAACGGTAATAGTACAAAACACTGATTTTGATTTGTTGTTTATTTTCATGTTATTAGTCAATTCATTTAATCAATTTTAATTAAATAATCTTTCACATTACACTAATCAATGTAAATGAATTAACTACTTAGCTCTAATTGCAGATTTACAAGATACTAGATCACATAACATATGGATTTACAACATACTGTTTTAAATGTCAAGCATTTTCTTGAAAGTCATATTTGTAATAAGAAAGGGAAAATGTACAACGATCAAATGAGTACATGGGAAATCAAAAAGGAAAATATTCACCTAATAAAAGTTAATAAATTATATTTATAATTTCTAATGATGTTGGATTGTTAAGCAAAAAATATTTCCTCCATACAGTACAAGCTGTGATCGCGAATCGACCATTTTACATGTCATGAATTGATATAATGAATGCTCAAAGGTAATAAATTAATTAAGTTCATTTTGTAGGTTGCATTTTCAACAACATACACATATTTTAATCCTTTCTACTTAGGTATTTGAAGGGCTAGGCATATTTTGATGCTGAAAAACAAGTATTAATCTTATTTTGAAAAACAGCATCGTAAAGCCATTAGAATATAACTGTTAGAACCAGTACTGCAGTAATGACAACAAGGAGGCTTTTAGAGTATTTACTTTACAACGAAATTAATGTAACACTTACTTTCTGGAGTAAAAACAAATCCTAATTCCTTTATATAAGTATAAATAGTTAAAACTAAGAAATTGTTTTTAATTATGTGGGGAATAAATCAGTAAATTAACAAAAATAATATAATGGTGAACAAGAGTGAAGACAGTCTCTGCACTACTTATAGTTGTAGGGTTACTCATCTAATGAATCAATGTATTTTAATCACTACAAGTTTTTCTTTTAGTTTTACGACTACACATACTCTTTAAAGTTCTCACAGAGAAAAACAGATAAATTAGCTCTATTCTGAGTATTCATTACGCAATTTGAAATTTTTGACCTATGTTAGATAGTTTGTTTTTATTAGAAGTTTTTCATAATACCAATGTCAAGCAATTAAAACAACTGTGCTGATAAGGATTTATTTAATAAAGAAAGAAAGAACATACATCATCTGGAACTTTCTGATTTGCCAATCGAAGGCGATCTTTGGTTGGTTCTTCAACACGCACCACTAGACCCTCATCTACGTGATTTGGCAGGGCAAGGGTTCTTGGCTTTGGTTTTAATGGTGTGCTTTCAGTTGTAGCTCCATAAGAACGAATAATATCGTCTTCATCTTCATCAAAAGCATCATCGATGGAAAATTTCTGAGATTTTTGACCACCTGCCATTTTTTAATAAAAACTTTACAGTTAAACAGTAGTAATGACAGTTAGGCTTAACTGTAATTTATTTGTAACTAAAGGATTGCCTAATGACACAGTTAGTGACAGGCTGAACTCAAGCCAAGGTTGAGCGACGCTGACACGATTATTAATTACAATGTACGTTTAGACTTTAAGCTTCCAATCAGGTTTCTAGTTAAATAAAACTTCAATCTCAAAACAGCTTTTAATCCCACAACGTAATATTGAACCCCATTTCGCGAAACAAATCACATTTTAATTTAAACTTTTAAAGGGCTTTCTTAAGTCATTTTACCACAATCACTCAGTCACGAATTTTTTTCACTTTATCGCCATCTATTATAAAAGGCTTAATCTTATTAAATAATATATTTTTTTCAGAATTTATTCTAATACGAAGGGAGATATGGAAATTTGCTAGTGAAAAGATTATAGGTAATATTAAAATCACTTGTCTTCGTAATATCCAATTCTGCTTTAATGATATTATACCATATATATTAAAACAATAGTAATATCGTTGGGCTCGAAAAACAAAATCAGTTTGCAGCCGACATTTGTCAATGACAAAACTTTTTACCGTAATTTAAAACATGATATGATTGCACATATGAACAGTATCTTGCTTTGAGAAA